GCTCAGAAGTTTGAGTATAGCAGAATTACTGGCAGCACCAGGTGGAGATGAGACTTTGCATTCTTGGTCTTCTTTTCCCCTCTGACCTTGTAGGGTGCGTTTCAGGGAGGCCCCAAGAGCTGAGGAAAATGCATCTCCTTGAGGTCCGCCTAGCTCTCCACACCCTGAAACACAGTTGCGTAACTACAGCATGACCTCATTGCAATAAGAACTAAGCCTTGCTGCTTGCGGTGCAAACTCTTTTTCTGAAAATCACTCAAGCCTTTCTTGGAACTATGTGCTCATGGCTGATTGGCTTGGGTCTTGTTACACCTATGTATGTTGAGAGCATAACAGAAATAAATCTAGGCGCGTTTCTGAAGAATCCGCCATGCCTGTTGTCTTTGTTTGGTCTGCTATAATTGTCATGGTGCTTCTCTCTCTTCCCTTATAGCAGTCAGGATTTTAGTTTTCAGCTATGTATTTTTGTCTTTGGTGAAAATGTTGTCTAACTTCTATTTGTTTCCTTACATGTGTATCTCCCATTTCATAATCATTTTACCTTTGAGTTTCTAATTTCCATTTGAATTCATGTTCTTTATTTTTTTTTTCTTGGGTGGATGTTTTATTGACTAGTCTTCATTACGGGAGCAATTAGAAGGACTGGGAAAAGGACAAAGCAGGAATGACAGCTGGGATGAGGACAGATGCCATTTAACCCATGTTCTTTATAAGCTGTTTTTTTTTTTTCATGGCCACAATACTTAAGAATAATTTATTTTTTTTTTTTCCAGACTGGCGTTATTGTTTTAACTATCGCACACTCTCTTCTTCCCTTCCCTCATTTTCTTTTTTGTGTTTTTAATCTTTTGGCTTTGTGTAGCTCCTGACTTTGCTGCTATCTTTGTGCTTAATTCAGGCAGCTGTGCCTCTACTTTGCAGTTCCCCGATGTTATGTGTGTTGTGATCTAAAGCAGGTGATATCTCATTGTAAGATGTCATGATGTTATTTTGTTTTCCCCCTTTGAGTTAAGTTTCTGTACTCCAAGTTAAAGAGATAGTTTTGCATCAATATTGTGTTCAGTTTCTTATCTTGGGGCTCATGTTACATAGTCAAAGGTGTATCACAGTGCCGTGGGGGCTATCTTGGTTCCCCAAATTACACTTGAATCCAAGTGTGTTCACTGTCAGAGTGAACATCCAGTTCTTCATTTCATGCACTGCACCTATTTTTTCCCTAAGCAGAAGACGGGTTTTTACTTGTCAAATTTGGAGTTTTTATTGTAAAATCTGAGAATGCCATTGACTCGGCATCCTGACTTACCTTACCTTGTCACTGCATAATCTTCTAGTAATTTTCTTGGTTTCTACTTAATTATTTTTTGTTTATTTTCATTTGCTTAGAAGGTAAAGAAGACACAAAGGCAAAGACAGAGAAGGGACAGACCAAGACAGAGAAATCTGCTAGTTTATATCCTAAATACCCATCACAGTTGAACCTGCACCAGGCTGACAACAGGAGCCTAGAACTTGGTCCTGGTGGGTGGCAGGGACTCAGTCAACTACTTAAACCACCAGGCTGCACATAAGTAGAAAGCTGAGTGAGAAGTGGAGCTGGGAGTGGGACCCAGATGCTGTGATCTCGATACCCGTTGAGTTAGGCCTAGGCTGCTCAGTGATGCAACTCTGAAGAGTCGGCACAAGAGACCAGGTTTATTCAACATGTCGGCATCTTGGTGGGAAAAGCAGATCTCTTATTTCTCAGGTTGCAAGTTGGCAGGAGGATTTTGAAAGGAGAAAGGAGTTGGCAGAAGTTGTCAGGAAGGTTTCTAGCGTAGGTTCTGAAGCTCCTGAGTTCGAAGCATGGCTGGTTTTGGGTTGGTGACTGCAAACTCCTTCCTCACCTGATTGGCCCTTGAGGACCAGCGGCTTTCAGATAGAACAGACTTTCAGATCACTCTCAACATTAGCAGTTAGCTTTTGTTAATTAGAGTCTGTAAAAGGAATGGAAGATGTGTTTTCTTTACCATTGCAGATGGGTAACTATTCACAAGGGAAGAAAGATGGAATCACTATTTACAGTTAGGTATCACACATGGGCATCTCTGACAGCATCTTAATCGACCACTAAACGTAACTTCTTTCTCTTTGGCTGTTATTTTAAAGCAATTTTGTGCAGCTGTGTCTTAGAGTTTCCTGTTTTGGCCAGCACCAGCCTAGTTTTTGTTGTTTTGCTTGCTTAATAATTTTGCTCAATATTAAGAAGTGATTGTGTCTTGGTTTTGCTCCTGTAATTTACAGTCTTTACAGTTTGTGTTTTCACTCAGGTCCTCAACATATGGGGTCCAGTCTGGCCCCAAACACAGGGGTCGGAGTATCTTCTGGGTCAATCAGATACTGTTAAAAATTACATACAAGCTCTCCCTGGAGAGGGCACCCTAAGGACTCTGTCTCCTCTTTATCAGTGTAGGTCCCTTTTGCCTAAAATAGTAAAATTCTATCTTTCATGTTTAATAAAACTCATCCCCCAGTAGGTTACCAGATCAAATGCAAGATGCACAGTAAAAATTGAATTGCAGACTCAGTGAATAAATTTTTAGATAAGTAGGTCCTGTGGAGGAATTAGAGCATGCTTCTACTGAAAATGTTTCTTTGAAATTCAGATTTAACTGCATTTCTTGCTTCTTGCATCTTTTCTCCACTAAATCTGGCAAACCTAGTCTGTGACCAACAAAAAGATATTTTCTGGGCTTTTTTGGTGTTTCGTCATTATCACTGCCATCTTTATCTCCATTATTAGTAGATTTATTATTATGCTCTTTTCTTATCTGGTCCGATAGTATGTCTTAACTTGTAGGTTTTAGATAATATTTACAGATGATAATCTATTCTACAGTAATTAAGCACCATTGGTATACTTACATTTGGTGATTTGGCACTTGGATAAGGATCAGTAATAAAAACATACAAAATAGACTTTAACCCAAACAGATGTCATAAAATACCATGCACAAGATGGTTCATTAAAAAAAAAAAAGATTTGTTTATTGGAAAGACAGACTTACAGAATGAGTGAGTTACAGAAAGATCTTTCATCCACTGATTCACTCCCTAAATGGCTGCAACAGCTGGAGCTGGGCCAATTTGAAGCCAGAAGCTTCTTTGGGATCTCCCTTGTGGGTGCAGGGACCCAAGGCTTTGAGTCAGCCTCCACTGCTTTCCCAGGCCAAGAGTAAGGAGCTAGAAGTGGGAAAGCTGGGACAAGAACCAGCTTCCATATGACATGTTGGTGCTTGAAGGTGGAAGATTAGCTAGGTGAGCCATTGTGCTGGCCCTAGTTCAGTTTTATTTTTTTTTATAAATGCTCGTATCAAACTTTTGCTCAAGATATTTTACTCTCATTTTTTTTTCTAAATACCAATTAGTTTAGAATATGAAGTCTGTACAGAAGCAGCAGACTAAGGGATTTACTTGAGTTCAGGAACAAGCACAACAAATGCCAGTCACAGTAACACAGATGGAAGAGATATGACACAAAAGCAGAGGCTGGAGCTGCCTGCCCTGCCTTCAGTGATCCCAAGCAGTTGTGGCCATGCACTCATGTGGAAGATCTGCAGAGTTCCTGGCTCCTGGCTTCAGCCTGGCCGTTTCCTAACTCTTGGGGGAGCGAACCAACAGATATAAGATCTCTCTTACTTTCCCTGTCTGTGCCACTCTGCCTTTCAAATACATACATGCATACGTACATCATTTAAAAAGGAAGGCAAATGGAAGAAGGTTTTTTTTAAGGGGCAAGTTTAAGATTTTTAAAAAAGTCATGGTATTTTCAGGGCGGCCAGGGAAGACTCTGAACCATCACTGTCTCCTACTTCAATCCATTGCTCTGGAAGTATGTGTGTGTTCAGCAGCTGTCATCACCTCCTCTGGGCTCCCTGTTCATCCTCTGGCTGGAGGTGATTTGCTGGACTCTGAAGTGAGGACCACAGTATTTGTATCTCATTTTCACCACCCATTAACTGTGTGGCCTTAGGCAAGTCTCTTAATCTCTCTGGGGCCTAAGTTCCACCTGCCTTAACAACACAAAAAAAAAGCTGAAAGGAAAAAAAAAAAAATAAAGGCGGGTGGCAATAACTCCTGGGAAGGCTGTTCTAAGCATTGTACGTAAGGTAATCTTTTAAAGTGCCTGTTGCCAGGAATGGCCTGACAGGCTAATCCTTTGCATGCAGTACCTGCAGCCCATGTGGGTACCAGTTCATGCCCCAGGTGTTCCACTTCCAACCTAGCTCTTTGTTTATATCCTGAGAAAGCAGTGGGAGATGACCCAAGTCCTTGGGACTCTGATCTGCGTGAAAAGACCCCACACCTGTTTCCTGGCATCAGATTGGCTCAGCTCCAGCTGTCGCGGCTGTTTGGGGAATGTATCAGCAGATGGAAGATCTCTTGGTGTCTCCTTCTCGCTGTGAAAATCTGCCTTTCAAGTAAAAGTGAATTTGAAAAATAGAGTGCATGCTGCGGTGTTTGGAGCCTAGCAAACCTCACGAAAGACTGGTTCCTGTGAAGGCGGTGGATTGTCTCTGGTGCCTGAAGAACCAACCTGACAGGCAGCAGGCATCCATCAGTGTTGGCTGTATGAATGAGTGGCTGTCAACATGGTGCACCGTGAGAAATCTGACGGAGGTTGGGGAATTTTACAACAGATTTGTACAGGTTTTTTGTTTTGATTTTGTAGAATTCTGGTTGTTGGTTGAAACATAATCCCAGTGGTGAAGAGAGAAAAAGGAGTGAAGAAGGAATGAGAGGGTCTTTTTTTTCTAAAACCCCTGACATTTCCCCGCTTCCCAAGGAGGGAATCACTTGCTGTGGCCTTGGCACCGTGACAGTATGGAAATTGCCAAGTGGCACAGACATTTTCATGGCACCCCAGTGCAGTTAAGGCTGTTTTGTTACTGCTGTCGGGCATCCGTTTACTGATTTGTGTTGTCATCAAAATGCCGAAAGTGATTGCTGATTTCTCTTTCCAGGCTGAGGCTGCATGAAGAAAAGGTTATTAAAGATAGACGACATCATCTCAAGACCTACCCAAACTGTTTTGTTGCCAAAGAACTGATTGACTGGCTGATTGAGCACAAAGAAGCCTCCGACAGAGAGACGGCAATTAAGCTCATGCAGAAATTGGCTGACCGTGGCATTATTCATCACGGTGAGTGTCATGGTGGCCATCAAGGTGACTCGAGTACATATGGAGAACTAAATCTTTGCATTGGCCTACCCATTGAGGAAATACAATGTTTTGCTTTATGTTGTCTCCTGAATGCCTCTCTAATTTTATCCCGTCTCTTCCCTCCAACTCTTCCCTAGTGTTACTCCCATGTACTCCCTTACATGTGTCTGAGCGACATACCCCATCGTTTTAGGTCATGACAAAGAGGCTTGTTGATTCTTTTGCCACGTGATCAACAGAATGTGAGAAGGATCCTATCAATACTGTGTCTTGCGTGTTCAGTTGCACCGCTGTGCTTGTGTCATTGGCCAAATTCAGTGGTGTTATTGTATGTTTATCTACTGTCCCATTGATGAACATTAAGTTATTTCCAAGATTTTGCTTTAGTTTTCAATGGTTTGGTAAACATTCATGAACTTGTTTCTTTAAAAATTCACTTATCTTGGCCTAGACTCTTGGATTTGTTTTTCTCTTGGCCTGAAATATCATTTGTCCTTGGTTTTGCCCTTTATCTAGTCACTTTTTCCATCTCCATTACATGCAAGCTCTTCAGAGAAGCTTCCATTGCCCAAAGCTGGGCTCCTGAGCTTCTGGGAGTATTAACAAGTGTTTTGTGCTGCCTTTGCAGTATCTTTCCTGTTCTGCACTTGGTCCTACCATGTTCACATTTCTCTTTCTCTCACTCGATTTCACATTCTCTGAGGTTGGTGCCTGCCCCAGTAGCATGCTCCAAAAGTGTTTCTGGAATTCATGAAGAATTTGATGTTGTAATTTTCTTGTAGATAATAACAATGATGATCATGATAATAGATAATAATACCTGTATTATTTTTTTCTCTGTATCTGATACAGTGCTAAATATGTGAATTACCTTAAATAACAGATATTTGTGACCTGAAGGAATTAAGCAGTGAAATGATTCTTAATTGGTATTTTCTACCACTTGACTAATTAAATGAGTTGATTTTGCTCATTTGTCTCTGTGTCTGTTGTGTTTCAGTGTGTGATGAGCATAAGGAATTCAAGGATGTCAAACTCTTCTACCGCTTTAGAAAAGATGATGGGACCTTCCCACTGGACAACGAGGTGAAGGCCTTCATGAGAGGACAGAGACTGTATGAGAAGTAGGTCCCATGGCAAATCCTCTGCTATAATCTTTACTTGTAGAGAGAAGCAGGGCTATTTCAGTCTGTCTCCATGTTGACTTCAACCTGGCTCTGCCATGTGGGCTGGTTACATAAGTGTTCCTTTTCATATGAGAAAACTATCGCCCATTTACTTTTCCCTGTGTTGGAAACTAAGTAGGTTTTGAAAGGTTCTTGATACGGAGTTTGTTTAAATCGTATTTTCTAGGTTAGAATTGATTTACGAGAACTCCAGAGTGAAAACAAAAGGCTGGAGCTTGATGTTTGCCAGCCAGGGATGCAGATGTCCTTTCTCTCTTGTGAACACTGTTGTTATAGAACTTGAGGTCAGCCTTGTAGGTGCTTAGAGAAGCGGGGTCAAGTACAGGGGAAGCTCAGCCACAAGTCAAAGATAAGTAGAGGGAACTACAAAGGCAGGAGATTTGCAAGGAGTGATCTTTTCAGCTGCTCAGGAGAGGTGAATCTTCTGTAACCCAAAAATATTTAATCACAGATCTAAAATTCTACAAGGCATCTGTCTCTGATCTTACGTGCAACTCCTGTGGACTCTTTTCCATCCTCCTCTCTTATTTTCTTCCTATGGCTTCCATTAGTGAAAGGAATGAAGAAATAACACACCCCCTCTTTGTTTCAGACTGTCTTACCAGGCTCTAGGGAGTTGAAAAAAAAATATGTATTTGCCACATGAAAGAGCCTTAGTGTGCTGGGAGTGGGAGTTGGGCGTGGTTCTGAGTGATTAGATTAAGTAGCCTGGTAGTTAGGATACAGCCAGTGTTTGAATTCTAGCCCTGCCACCTGACCTTTGTAAGCCTCAGTGTACTGTCGTGATGTGGGGCCAGTGACAGCAGCTGCCTCCCAGTGCTGTAATGGGAGTTCAAAGAACACTTTTCATCACGTGCTAACGAGTTCAGCTGAGGAGTTGTGGTTGGTTCTGCACTCCCACACATGACAGCCATTCCAGTTGTGAACCTGGTAGCGATGACTTTCCTCCCTCTGTCCTTTGTTACGGGCGCCTCCCCAGCTGTTTGCCTTTGTTCCTGGAGCTGTTTTCATGCCATCTGCGGTACTAGATCTCCAGTCACTTGCCTTCCACATAGAAAAATAGAAGATCCTCCATCTCTCTGACTCCCGCTAGTTGGGATGGAAGGATCTAGCAAAACCTTTGTAGTGTGTGTGTGTGTCTATTTTGTCACTATTTTCTTTCTTAGTTTTTTTTTCTTGTAAAATGCAAGCAGGTTTTAGGTATTTAGTTTATCATGATAGTGTCTTAAAGATAGAAGATTCTTTGTTGCCAAGATGTCAATATTGCTCTTTTCAAGGATTTTTCATTGGCCATAGCTGATTTCTTGGGATTTGGGTAGTACACTGTGGGGCAGTGATGAGCAGCAATGGAGAGCATCTTGGAGAGAACTGTTATTGCTGATGGTATAGGTATGAAGTCAAGATAATAAAAAGAATTTACACCTTTCTAGAACTTGGCCAACTTCCTCCTCTCTTGTCATCTTCTACCCTATGTGCCGTTCATACTGAACGGCGTTTCTGGACCATCCAAAACCTTCTCTGCCATTAGGAGATTTGTTAGTTCATTGGTTAATAGCCAACAAATGTATGTTGAGTCTTAGCCACAGGCCTTGCAAAGTGATAGGCCCTGGAGGTGTGTTATGAACCAATGGCAATGCTCTTTCGTGGAACTTGTGTTACAGTTGTGCATGCAGTTGCTCAAGGGCTAAGTACATGCAGGTACACATGGTATGTGGTACAAGTGCTTATTGGTTCTAGAAAGAAAGATAGACTGAGACTGGTAAAGAAGTTTAAATAGAGGAGTCGGGGAAGACATTCCTGAAGAGAGGACCTTGGATTGAAGTGAGCTCTTCAGATATCTGGTGCAAAAGCATTGTTGGCAGAGGGAGCAATAAGAGTAAAGGTGGCTTTGACAGGAATGTGACTGCTATCTTATAGGACAGTGATGATGTCATGGTGTTGGAAGTAAAGACTAGAACAGGAGTTGATGGGCAGGGGCCAGTTCATGTTAGGTTCTATAGTCATGGGAAGAATTGGTGTTTTCAGGTTGTGTATTTGGCTAGTGGTTAAGCAGTCAGCTGGAGTGCATGCATTGGAGTGCTTGGATTCAAGTCTTGGCTCCACTGCTGATTCCAGGTTTCTGTCAGGGTGTTCTGTGGGAGGTGACAGGTCTTGGCTCAAATGATCGGATTCTTGCTTCCCACATGGGGTACCTGGATGGGTTCCCAGCTCCCAGGTTTAGTGTGGCCTAACCCTTGCTGTTGTGAGCATCGGAGCAGTGAATCAGCAGATGGGAGCTCTCTCTCGGCCTCTTTTCCTTTCAAATAATGAAATAAATGCTTTAAAAATGGGTTATATTTGAGGAAAATGGGAAGCAATTGGGAGAGCAGAAAATAGAGCAGTGGCCATTTTCTGCAAGTGCTCATTTCTTTTGGTAGGAAAGCCTTCGTGCCATTGTCACTGCTTTCCTGGAGCACTCAGACTCTTCTTGGCTTCATGTTAAACATACCCTTACTGGAGTTCCTCCCTTGCTGCTACAGGGCTAAGTCAGTGTCAAACCTGCATATTTCACCTGCAGAGAGCTGGGTTTGACTGTTCCTTGCATTCAATTAAGAGACCGAAGGCTGAGGCCTGCCCTACCATCTTTTTTGTATCTCTTTTAAAAATATTTATTTTACTTCTATTTGAAAGGCAGATTTTACAGAACAGGAAGTAGAGGTGGCGGGAGAGCCTTCCTATGGTTCACTCCACAAACGGCTGCAATGGGCAGAGCTGAGCCTATTTGAAGCCAGGAACCAAGAGTCTCCTACATAGGTGCAGGGTCCCAAAGGTTTGGGCCATCCTTGACTGCTTTCCCAGGCCACAAACAGGGAGCTGGATGGGAAGTGGAGCAGCTGGGACATAAACCAGTTACCTTATGGGATGTTGGTGCTAGCAGGCAGAGCATTAACTTGCTATGCTCTCACACTGGCCCTCGTTATATCTTCTAAGGCCTGGTCAATATGTTATGGTAAATATTTGGTGAAAATTATGAATATGATTTTTGATGAGGCAATCAGTTTTGTTGCTTTTGCTAGTTGTTCGTATTCATTTCCTTGCACATTTATTTCTTTAAGCTGCTTGTAAAATTAGCAGATGGAAAAAGTAATTAGAATTACTTAACCCTGGTTGACCTGACACTTAGCAAGAGGTAACCCTCACTTTTAGTAACGGCAATATCTGTGCAGGATCTTTGGAATGACAGTTCCATTTACCTATTTCAGCAGTTATACTTAATATATGCACTTAATTATTTTTATACACTTTCTTTCTTTTTTAAGCCAATCTGCCCATGAATTTCAGCATGCATGATTGTTTTCTAAGTTGTAGATACTTTTCTTTGAAAAAAAAAACCGCAAAGAATTAGGGGAGGAGGTGGGAAATTCCAGGGCCTATGGAACTGTATCATAAAATGATAATAAAAAAGAATTAGTTGGTTTTGTTGACATTTCATTTTTTCAGTATTTTATTATTTTAGAATTGAGATTTTCCCTCAATTTTTTTCACCTGAAGTCCTTACTTGGAATATGTCTAACATTTTATATGAAGGTCATGAAAAATATGTGTTCCTTGTGAGTATAATAACAGCAGATTCTGCCTAATCCCCTTTCTCTAATTATTGTGACAACTCCCAGGGAGATGCTGTTATTGCCCTTATTTTATAGATAAGGGAAATGTGGCAGGGAGGACAAATCATTTACCCAAGGTTGTTTAACCGGTGCTGACTGTGAGCCAACTGATAACCAGTTTCTTGATTTCCTTTTTGCAAGAACGAATGGATGAGTGAATTGGAGAACAGTGAATAGCAAGCTGCAAATATTTCATTGAGAAAGCAGAATTACACACTTAACGGTCAGTGTATAGGCTCACTCAGAGGAGAGAGTCCTGTGTTTGAACTGAGTTTATCATGCAGAGGTTAATTATGAAAGGGAAGGCACATTTTAGTCAAGGGGAGGAAAATTCATGGTTTTTCTAAGGAGTAGGTGGAGGACTTATCCCTCCACTGCCAGTACACACATATGTGTGAATCTAGACACCAACTTTTTTCACTTTCACTGGTCAGCTGTTTCTTGTCATGGCAATTGGCAGGTGTTTATGTAGCATAATGTATTAAAATGAGCATACGATGTATTGCTGGTTGTAGGAGCCTGGTTCAGGCAGGGACTCTGTCTCCAGAGAAAAGGAATGGAGCCCATATTCTGCCAACCTTGAGATCATGGGAAATGAACTCCTTCTGCCTGTTGGTCTCCTTGCTCATAAATAGCAGCTGGGGACCCTGGTGTTTTAGCCTAGTGGCTCAAGTCCTCGTTTTGCATGTGCCGTGAACTCATATGGGCATTGGTTCGTATCCCGGTTGCTTCACTTTACTTCCAGCTCCCTGCTTGTGGCCTGGGAAAGCAATGGAGGATGACCCAAAGCCTTGGGACCCTGTACCCATGTGGGAGATCCAGAAGAAGCTCCTGATTCGTGACTTTGGATCAGCTCAGCTCCAGGCATTATGGCTGCTTAGCAGTAAACCAGCAGATGGAAGATCTCTCTGTTTCGCCTTCTCTCTGTAAATCTACCTTTCCAATAAAAATAAATAAATCTTTAAAAAAAAATAGTAGCTAGAATCTGAACCTAGAGCCCAAACCCCAGACTTGCTGAAACTAAGCTACAGATAAAGTCCTTTCATGTACACTGGATGAATGAAATCAGATTTATTTCAAAATGTAGCTTGCCTTAATATGTTAGAGGGGATTTATAAGTTGTCAGGGTTTAACATTTTCCGGAAAGAACAAACAAACCAAAAGAAAACAACAAAATTAATGAATGTGCCAAGATCTGAAAGTTAGACATTGGAAAAGGAGAGTAAAGAGTTTCCCCTAAGTGGTAAAATCTGCATGGTATTCTGAAGATGTGAAAAGCATCTGTGCCTT